TACATTTTTAAAATTTTAAATATTTTTGAGGAATACACTGGATACAATTCTATAGGGGAGAGGGGGAGAGAGAGAGAGAGAGAGAGAGAGAGATAGATATAGAGGGAGGATGGGGGGTTTCAGAGAGAGAGAGAGCGAGAGCGAGAGAGAGAGAGAGAGAGAGAAATGGGTTTTAACGTTCACTCGACACAAACCAGGTCATTTTGGAACTAACATATAGTTCAATTTTATTTCAATAATTTGCTTGCCTGTATAGGTCTTTAGCAGTGGGAGGAAACCGAATAACCTCAAGAAAACTCATGAGGTTGGACAGGCCAGTCGCGGATCCTAGCTGGGGGGGTGTGTGTGTGTGTTCCAAACCTCCCCCCCCCCTCCCACTGCTCAGCTACATACAAAATTTTGTAAACCAACCTTTTTTATGAGAAAAGAGTCATAATTGTGTTTTATCCTTTATCGTCAGATGGTGTGACAGGATGGGCACTCGAAGCGCGAGATAATGATAAAGACATGGGATATCACAATTAATGCTTTGCATCAATAAAATTGAATCACAATGTCATCGTATTAATTCATAATAAAAAATGACGCCAAACAGGATGTTGGATTTCCCTGTTTAAAAAGATCAATGTGTATGTTTATACGCCAAATGACGATAGAGACCATGTATTTCTCAAATAATTTCAAGCCGAGAGGATACATTTTCTTAGGAACTGGGCAAACCCCCTCCTGCAAAAATTCCGCCCCTGCAGGCGACCCTACTCCTTGTCACGTACAACCGGGGAATCGAAATCACACCAGCTGACTCAATGAAAGACCTTACGATACAAGGCGTACACGCTAAACATTTGGCCATCCAATCCACCGAATTTGATATAAGATAGCACCACTGTCTTGACAAAATTTCCCTCATAGCATATTGTATGGGGTATGCCCGTCTTCATTAGCCAAGTTTGTGCACAAAAGTAGGCCATACAAACACCATTTTCATTGCTGTTAACATTTTGGACATTTATAATTTATTTTTCGGTTCTACATGTAAGGCTTTAATTTCTGTTTAGGTATTTATTTCCGACTCGAGTCAATAAACCATTTTATTTAGAATAAATCCAGAAATAGTAGTATTGAAAGTGAAGTATAATAAAGTTGTTTTATTGATTGAAGATGTCGAGTAATAATGGGTTGTTAATTAATATTGATCACTATCAATCACCTATAACTAGTTTAATACAATCAGTTAGAAATGTAATCATTGATTTTATAAATTACTCTATTTACTCCCCACACTTTTATTACACAATAAAATATATTCAATATTACCAATATTTACAGATCAATTAACAATTATAAGTCAATATATACTTGCTTAATGATAAGTCAATATATACTTGCTTAATGATACATTATAGGAGATTAAAGAGCTGACAGTTCTCACTATAATAGTTAAAAACTACATAATATACAGGGAATTTGCTGAAAATTTCAGTCAAATTGATCCAGATTTAGCAATTGAATTTTCGGCCCAGCCTCGATCATCATTACTAAATTCGGTACGATAGAAAACAGTCTTGATTATCCATTTCATGATTTAATCATGAATGAAAGTTGAGCAGCAAATCAGATCCTAATCCAGTAAATATCGCAGGCTAGCGAGAGTTGATCATGGTCTTGATAAGTTAATTAATGTCCAATTAATAATTTAGAAAACATTTCAGGCCTAAAGAAAGACCTGCAATAGGCAGATTTAGCTCTTGCATAATGTATGATTAATTAAATTAACAAAACAAAAATAGAATACATAATCTCCTGGCTTGGATTTAGATGGATTGAAAAGAAGGCCATATTATCTCCTGCAGAGGCTGCTGAATGTTACAAAGTTTTCAATTTCAGATATCTTTGTAAATACTGAAAGGAATTGAACCAATTTTGGATAGATATTCCTTTTAGAAATTCAACTTTTACAATATTGTAGTTTGCAAGATATTTGAAATCCCTAAAATACTTATCAACAGCTTTAAGATATACATGTTACATTACTCCCCACCTTGACATATAACCTTAGATAAAACTGTGTAATATATGATATTCGTGGTGTGATATTTCATACACAGTAAAAATACCTCATATTAACAATATACAATATAGTATTACATATACTATACTTTATATCAACAATATATTGCATATATATTATACTTTATATTAAGAATATATTACATATACCATACTTTATATCAACAATATATTGCATATATATATATTATACTTTGTATAACAATATATTACATATACCATACTTTATATAGCAATATATTACATATACCATACTTTATATTAACCAATATATTGCATATACCATACTTTATATAGCAATATATTACATATACCATACCTTATTTTAACAATATATTAACAATATATTACATATATCATACCTTATATTAACAATATATTACATGCATGTATATCATACCTTATATTAACAATATATTACATATACCATACCTTATATTAACAATAATGTCCTTAATATGAACATTGTTGCAATGATAGAACATTTATCATTCATCTAATTTATGGGTAAATAAAGATACCCTTTAAGGGCCATTTTCATGGTCCATTAACTTTTATTTCAATAACAAGAATAACTCCACTTGATAAATACTAAAAGCTTCTGAGTTTATATACTGTATCAGTTTACACAATATGTTGACCAAATCATTCCTGTGACTTCATCTGGAGAGAGAGAGAGAGAGAGGGAGAGAGAGAGAGAGAGAGAGAGAGAGTGTGTGCTATGAATGAAACTTTGCAGAGTGGTGGCAATTTAAGGGGTCTTTTATGTCAAGGTCAATGTGTACACTGGACCTTGATTTTTCATCCAAACCAAACTACTAGACAGCTAACATGGGAAAACCACGCTTGAAAATCCTGATGTACTTTCTCAGGCAAAACCGGGAGCAAACCTCAGGCCCCGCGTTCACAAAGCATTCTCGGACTTAAGTTAAGAATTTACTCAAAATTGTTCGCCTTATTTTAACTCAAATATAGCCCTTTATGAAACTTTTGTTGTTTTAATGTATCAAATACAACAATAAGAATCTATGTTCAAAGTTTTGTGTTTCTGGAGCAAAGATATTTCTCATAAACAGTGATTGAAAGTTGAGTAAATTCTTAACTTAAGTCTGAGAATGCTTTGTGAACTTGGGGCCTGACCTCCAGGCTAGCGAGCCAGCTTCTTACTCAACCAGGTGGTCGCTCAGAGAGAGAGAGATTTTTGAACTAAAATATGGGGTACAATTTCAGTTATATATTTTGCTTGCTGGTAGTGGTCTTTAACAGTGGGAGAAAACTAAAATACATTTAAAAGTATGGGATTAAAAACCATGCTACTTGACTCAGGTGACAATACCTTGTGATCTAAAGTGGTAAGATATGCATAGAGTGTGTATATTCAGGTAAAACTATTAATCACAGGTGTATGTTTATACATTCAGTCAGTTTACTGTTAACATGGCAAAACCCCTGATTATTGACCCATAAAAATCTTTCAAATATAATTTTCAAGATCAGTTCACAGCGAAAATACCTTATAATTGGGATGTTGTCAAAACTTCCATAAACCAAAACAAGCCAAAGTTAGGTCAGATTGGCCAAAAACATTGCAAAATGTTAGTTTTTCTTAGATAGAGTTGACAATTTATTCATACTTTATTTTGAACATGATTTATCTAAGACTGATTATTAATTATAAACAAACAGGCAACTAATCATTATATTTAATGAGAGAGAGAGAGAAAGAGAGAGAGAGAGAGAGAGAGAGATGGGATTTAACATCCACTGGACACAAACTATGTCATTTCGGGACTAACATATGGTTTGATTTTTATTTCAATAATTCACTTGCGCGTAGGGGTCTTTAGCTGTGGGAGGAAACCCATGAGGTTGGACAGGCAACTCTAGTCCTTGACACATACAACCAGGGAATTGAAACCACGCCAGTTGACTCGATGACAGATCTTATGATACAACGCGCACACGCTAACCATTCGGCCATCCAACCCCTTATTTAATTAAAATAAAGCCCGTTGGTGAAGACATGTCATTAACACACTATCTCATTCATTCAATTACAATGCTCATCGATAATCTCCTAGATTATGGGATTAGTATGGATTAACTCTTAGCCATGAACAAGATCATCCACACAAATAACCTTATTGAAGATATAAACATCTTTAAAATTAGAGAAAACTTGAAAACTGCAATAGAAACTTCTGTTTTAGTATTATCGCACTAATTAAATAGGGGATTACTATTATTTACGTTATCTCTGACTGAGTCAATGTTCATATTCAGCTTAGTCCATTACAAAATACTTGACAAGAATTCTGAAAATGGAATACATGTACTTGTTGTGCGTGTATATTTTTATTCTCTACAAAAAAAAAAAAACCTATATATTTAAAATTTCATACATAGTTTTATTAGTGTCTTAAACATACATTATGCAAGAGCTAAATCTGTCTATTGCAGGTCTTTCTTTAGGCCTGAAATGTTATATCAATTATTAATTAGACATTTTATTAATATGACGAGATCATAATCAAGTCTCTGTGCCATCTTACATGTCTGATTTTCAATGGATTTGAATCCGATCTGCTGTTCAACACTCATTGATGATTAACTGCAAAATTGAATAATCGAGACTTTGTTAATTCTTGTGACAGACGTAACAATGTCAACCAAGGCTAAAGTGATTTTAAAATAAGGTTTTCTTGGCTTACAGTTAAGCAATTTGATATTTTCAGCATATTCCCCTTACATTATCTATTTTTAAATATTATAGTGAGAACTAATCTTCCATAATGTATCTTTAATGTTCAATTATTGTATAATTACTGTTAGTGTGTTACTTTTAATAAATGCCACAACAATAATTTATATTTTGGTTATGCTTTAACAAATATTTGTTTTAAAAAGGTTATAATATAATATGCACCCACCTCTGACTACGGCATCAGCATGTTGCAGGTTTATAAACGTAACTGGAACAATACTAGAGTTTAATTTTAATTCACCGTTACCGTTTGTATTGAGGAGAAATATTTTGGTGTCATATTTTTTAACGTCACTATCACATATATGGGGGTCCCCAAACCCTTCGATCATCACCATTTTTCTATGCGATACGGGGTCTTCAAAATTTGCTACTTTTGGAACTAAATTTCCTCGATCCTTGAAGACTCTTTTTACCTCGACCTCCCCTTTGTACATGCCTTCGTGGGTCGAATCTATCATGACTTCCTTCACCGTGCCAGTGATCACAACATTGGCTAATTCTTCACGTGCTTCAAGCGAAATGTCATGACAAGATTGTTTGGCCCACGAAACGCAGACGGAGAACACTAAAAAAGTTAAAACGCCTATTAATGAACGAAATGAGAGAACACATGGATATTTGTCACGACACATTTTGAAACTGTAACACTGTATCACTTATGAGTAAAGCTGAGGTGACAGGTATTCCTAATAATCACTGAAAGCGCCTAACATTCCATTCACAAAACTCCAATCAGACACATTGGATGTAGGGTGACAGTGCAGACGAAACACACACCGGAGCGAACTTTCAGTGCGTTGACGGAAAGTGACGGACTTATCCGATTAAGCTCAGGTAAACCCGCCAGCTATTGGTCAGTCACACAGACGACTAAAGACACAAAAGTCAATATTGCAAAGGGACTATTTTTACAACACGTGGGGTAAAGACCGCCCCTCAAACATTTATTTCTAGATCTGACGTAATGGGTTAAACCTAATCTTGTTCTTACACGAATAAATACAATTATCCGGCTGATAAAATGTGTTTCTATAAAAGACGATGTGCTATTATTTCAATTATTCCTTTGATAATTTACAGGGCAATTGTACTTCGCAGGATACACGTTCAATGGTTAAGAATTGTATTCATTGGAATGATCAAAATTTAAATAAATTTAATATGCATGATCGAGTTAAAAGCATGAACCTTATAATATAAGAAGCCGTATAGATATTAAATTCTTAGTTACTATAATTTTCATGGTGAAAATAAAAGTGAATTATGTCCCCTTGATGCGATTTTTCTTGTCCCCAATACAAATATTTTCTAATTTCAGTAAACAAATATTGGTGAACTGTTGTTTGCACCATGAAATAGAAACAAATAAAGGTATTTCGGGTCATATATTGGTCACTGTATACTTTTCTAAATGATGGTGGACCAGGAAAAATTGTAGCTTGCACCAGTTGTCTCCCCTGATTCATTCAATAATTTAAATAGATGAGAGAGTGGGAAATTTGGGTTTAATGTTCACTCGACACAAACTTGGTCATTTCGGGACTAACATTTGGTTCAATTTTTATTTCAATAATTTGCTTGCGTGCAGGGGTCTTTAGCAGTGGGAGGAAATATGAGGACCCGGAGAGAACCCAAGAGGTTAGACAGGCGATCCTACTCCTTGTCACGTACAACCGAGGAATCGAAACCACGCCAGTTGACTCAATGACAGACCTTATGATACAGCGTGCACACACTAACCATTCGGCCATCCACCCCCTCTCCCCCCCCCCCTAAATCCCTAAATAGATGAACAGTAACACAAAATGAAATGGGGTTTAACGTCCCACTGGTCTGCTCCGACTGGGCTAATGAAAATGGGCATACGCCATACAGTGTGCTATGAGAACAGTAACACACTATCGCACATGAACTATTTATATACGTTTTTAAATTCTGCTCCAACTGGGCTAATAAAGACAGACATATGCCATACCGTGTGCTATGGGAACAGTAACAGACTATCACTTAAATTGGCTAATGTTTGTTTCCATTTTATTTATTTAATTTACTTTCCTTGTAAAATGAACTAGATTATTTCTGGTTACAGGAAGAAATTCCTAAGTAGTGATGTCACATACAATCATAGGCGTACGAGCTGGGGGGACTGGGGGGGCACCAAATGCTGGGAAAAATTTGGGCACAAAATTGTACTTTTTAAAAGATGTATAAAAAAAGATAGTGTGTTCTTGAATGTGTCCAATTTAACAGCGAATTTATTATTATGTAACATACTAAGAACCTAACTAAATATTTTGGGCACCAACCACCACCGCCCCCCCCAGTCAAAAATTTCCCCGTACGCCTATGCATACAATATATAGTATATTTACACCTTCTAATATTTTCAGTTTATTTGGAAAATAAAAGATATTTGAACAATATCTTATTTTTCAAAAAAAGAGGGAGAGAGAAGTATATATATATTTATATATAAGTGAGAGAGGTATATATATATATATATATATGAGAGAAAGAGAGAGAAATGGTGTGGTTTCGATTCCCAGGTTGTATTTGACCAGAAGTAGGGTCGCCTGTCCATCCCCGTGGGTTTTCTCTGGGTCCTCCGGTTTCCAGCCACTGCTAAAGACCCCTACTCGCAAGCGAATTATTGATATAAAATTAAACCATATTTATGTTAGTCCTGAAATGACCCAGTTTCTAATGAGTGAACATTGAACCCTATTTCTCTCTGTCCTGGATGGGGTTCAGATCAACCTGATGCTGATCTGTAGAGAATGCCAAAAGTTGTGAAATGTTCAATTCATCATATTTTTGTAAATACTGACTGGACCGATATTCCCTTTAATCTTTAATTTGAAAGAGGTTTCTTCAATCCCCCCAATTGACAATCTGAGACCAGGCTACAAGTTAATATCAAGGTCACAATGTCTGTTCAACATTTAAATTCTCTACAGTATTGACAGTTGCTATAGTGGACATGTAACACTATTAGTAAGTGCAGGAGGACCGCACTACATGCAAAACAAAAATCTACAGGATTTGTCGACATGTGAATGAATGAAATGGGGTTTAACGTCCCACTTTTTAACACTAACTGGGCTAATAAAGATGGGCATATACCGTGCCGTGTGCTATGAGGGAAATATTGCCTGAACAATGAACAGCAATTGAATTCCAACTGTCAAGGGTACATGTGGCCTCAGTTTTTCCGTCCCATTACAATGACTAGATGCAGTCTTCGTCAGGTCCTCCGTCCTGCACCACTGAAAATGTTTTTTTTTGACATTTGTATTATCACATATATACGTCGTGAGTTTTTCATGTGTTACGAAATAAAAGACAGAAACCGTGACAACCGCTCAGTACCGGATGATAGATCTGAAATTGGGAAGATATGAAATGAAATGGGGTTTAACATCCTACTCTTCTACATCGACTGGGCGAATGAAATGAAATGAAATGAAATGAAATGAAATGAAATGAAATGAAATGAAATGGAGTTTAACGTCCTACTGTTCTGCTTCGAACTGGGCTAATGAAGACGGGCATACGCCATACAGTGTGCTATGAGGGAAATTTTGCCCTACGCAGCGGCACTACATGCCTACTCTTGTATCAAATTCCAACTGCCAAGGGATCTTTTACATGCACGCCAATGTGTACACGGGACCTTGGTTTTTCGTCCCATCCGACCTGCATCGACTGGGCGAATGAAATGAAATGGAGTTTAACGTCCTACTGTTCTGCTTCAAACTGGGCTAATGTAGACGGGCATACGCCATACAGTGTGCTATGAGGGAAATATTGCCCGGGCAGCGACGCTACATGCCTACTCTTGTATCAAATTCCAACTGCCAAGGAATCTTTTACATGCATGCCAATGTGTACACGGGACCTTGGTTTTTCGTTCCATCCAAAAGACTAGACAGCTGACCTTGTCAGGCCCTCCGTCCTGCATCACTAACAAGGGGAAACCACGCCGGAAATGCAGGGATCGAACACCCGACCTCCACGCTAGCCAGCCAGCGTCTTTCCCACGTGATCCCCCCTGGGCGAAAGAAGACTGAAGCGAAGAGATACTCTCCACAGAAGGCGTAGCAAACAAAAATAAAAAACCCCAAACAAGTGAGTTATAATATTTGTTATTTTAATTCGTTTTTTGTTTTAGATTTACACATTATATATAATATTTATTTTTATATATATATATATATTAACAACCTTACATGACCTTTACCAGAAGACATGACAATAAAACAAATCTGAACACAGCACAAATTGCAAGATGCACAAATAACCAATCTGATTAAAACACAGATCCTAGGGTTAGGGTTAGGAACACAGATCCTATTTTGTTCGTTTTGTTTTTTAAAGTTTAAAATTTCGTTTTTATTTGCCTTCACTACACTAGGATCTGGCAGAGTTGTTATATAACCCGGGTTCTGGTTGAGGTGAGGGATTAGCCAATGAAACTGTCTGTGAATTGCGGCGAGTTCTTGGCATTCGGTGCACGGTGAAGACAAAGAACACAAAGCAAAAGTTGTATTTTAAAATACCCACTTGAAACATCAAAGCTGATTGGTGAATCAAATGTCTGACATCCTAGGGTCAAAAGTCGTGACACCTGACGCGACCTACCACTACATCCGGTCAGATCTTCAAGTAGTGAAGGCAATCGAAAGTATAACCCGCCCCCACCCCTGAAAATATAGGTTTGTATTTTAATCAGATTTCACAAATACTAACAAACAAAAACAGTAGAATCATTTATTATAATTCCTCACACAAATGACGAGGCAAGTTTCATATACTAGGTTAATAAACACCATTTATTATTACCCAAAAACAGAATCATTTATTATAATTCCTCACATATATGATGAGGCAAGTTTCATATACTAGGTTAATAAACACCATTTATTATAATTCCTCACATATAAGATGAGGTAAGTTTTATTTACTAGGTTAATAAACACCATTTGTTATTACCCAAGTTGATATAGGTCTTTAAACACCATGCGTTATTAACCAAGTTGATATAGGTCTTTGCAGCATACTATGTTAATAAAAACCATTTGTTATTACCCAAGTTAGTACAGGTCTTTGTAGCATACTAGGTTAATAAACAGCATTTGTTATTACCCAAGTTAATATAGGTCTTTATTACTAGGTTAATAAACATAATGTGTTATTACCCAAGTTAATATAGGTCTTTAAACAGCATGTGTTATTACACAAGTTGATATAGGTCTTTATTACTCGGTTAATAAACATAATGTGTTATTACCCAAGTTAAGATGGGTCTTTATGCCTTACTAGGTTACTAAACACCATTTGCTATTACCCAAGTTGACATCAACCTTTATAGACTACTAGTGCTATCATTTAAAAAAAAAAGTCCCAAAAAATATGACCATTTTTAGCATTATCAAGTTTGGCGATTATGTTTGATCTGACTCCATTTTATCCCCCAAAAAATACTGAACCCCCATTTTAACTCCTACCTCCCAAAATGTTAATCGGTTAGGGATTAGAGTTAGGGTTAGGGTTCTAGTTATCAATGTGAATGAGACATGTTCATGTCACAAAATCCTTTGTTGACATATCGATGATTAAAAAAGGGAGTTGGATCAAACATAATCGTCCAAATTTCTTTAAATATATAATTTGAAGTGTTTTTATAAATTTAATTATACTTATTGTATTTTAAAGTTAATTAACTTTAAGGCATTTAAATTTACTGACAGCTAAGTCCTCTAGCCGGGTTAGCTTGAAACAATGAAAACAAGAGTCATGCCTTAAATATAGTTCTTACTCAGGATAAAGTTTAACTTACAAAGATATTAAAAATAAAATTTTAGTGGATTGAAAAGAAATACATTACAGTTAATTGTTAAATATCAAAGTTAATTATTGAATATTTACAAACATGAAGCCCTTACAAAGAGAAATTAAACATCCAATAAGAATTGACTTCTGTTACGGTAACTGCAAGTAAATGTTGTGTATTGACATTATAAGGGAGATAACTCTAGTATATAGTTTCATTACACCATTATCTGAAATATTCTATGACTTGGGTATTTCCAGTGGTACAATTTGTATCCAGTATCTTCATGTAAATGTGAGTCCTCCCCCTCCCCCCGCCCTCCTTTTCTTAATTTTAAAAAACATGCAGGGGCTTGATACAACTGATATCAATAAATGATTGAATAAGTACTGTTAATCATAGCATTATCTAATATAATTTAGTATATCGATAAATTTGTTATTCATTTTGTAAAACCGCAACCTTTGGATGCCCTAATTGTAATTTACTGTATTGACTTTCACAGTGTTTCCATGCTCTTCTCTATAAAATAAAATCTTATCTTAGGACTTTTTGAAATGTCAATCAAATAAGAATATCAATAGGGTATCAGGTCCCTTCAAACAAAAAACGGCGCACATTAAAGAAAAAAAAACGTAAATATACACACACATACACATGTAGGAAGCACTGAGCTGCTGCTACGGTTACTTTAATACAATTATTATTATTATTATTATTATAATGATGAATCACATTAAGATATTTACAACTCCAGGTTAATTACAATATTAATGGAATGCTTTAAATCATATCTATATACAAATATCACAAACAATCGAAAATATATGGGCCTTAAAAAATAGGAAATTTCGTAATTTTCTCAGAATCAACTTAAAAATGTAAAACGTGGGCCTTAATCTTCTTAGAATAGAAAATATGGGCCTTAAATAAAAGGAAATTTCTTAATCTTCTCAGAATCAACTTAAAAATGTAAAACACGGGCCTTAATCTTCTTAGAATAGAAAATATGCACCTTAATTAACTTGAAAATTCTTAATCCTCTTAAAAATGAAAATATAGGTCTTAAATTCTTAATCTTCCCAGAATCAAAATAAAAACATAAAATTTGGGCCTTAAATTATAGAAACATTCACTATCTTCTTAGAATAGAAATTATGGGCCTTAAGTAATTTGAGCCTTAAAATCTTAATCTTCTAAGGATCTAATTAAAATTGTTAAAGATGTATCACTTACGTAAAACTCACAGGAAATTAAATAAATGTATTATGGTAAAAATATTAATTAAAATAACTTTAATATATAAAAATCTAAAATCGTGGCTAGATGTTCTTCTTGACCAATCAAAATCAATGTATAAATCGTACAGCCACATGGTTAGATATTAACCCTTTATACCTCCCAAAACTAGCGCTGCTTAGATTGCCCGATTCACATGAATAGGGGAAGCTGTTCATGTGACTCAGGTGGTTTGAGGCAGTATTTTCGGGATACTTGTACAAAATATATCACTTTTCTCAATTTTTTTTCAAGAAAACATGTTCATCAATATTTAAATGTACCAACTGCGAAAGGGTTAATTATATTAGAACTATTTAAAAAAGAATTACAATTAAATGTTTGGATTAAATGCATGATTTGGATATTAAAAAGTTTGCGTTGCTAAAATTTCCAAATTGTCCTTCTAAATGTTCAATATCAATATGTATCCCTAAAATAAAAAATGAATTTAACAAAGTGATATAAATGACTTGAGGAGATATTTCTTGAAAAAAAAAAACGTAATAAAACAAAGGAAAGCTATGAGGTAGAAAATCTTTTGTTTACGTTGAACATATCCAGAATTTTGTATTATCTTTTGATGTCGAGAGATATTCGTTTAACGAACACTTATAAATATTTTGATTATTTACCTCATACAAAAATAGGGAAATATGATATAACGAAAAAGCTGACCCAAATATTCCCAAAACATTGAATATAATATCTACAAGTACCATATTCATATAATTTACAGTCTCACAACCAAATCAGACTTCATTATTCGAAGTTCCTCTCTTCATTTATTGGGCATGTCATCAACTTTTGTTTAATTTGTACAACGTGTAGATAACTTATTTCGCCTGAGACAAAAACAAACAAACAAACATAAGTTGTATTTTGTTTTTTTTTCTGTTATCCCTGTCATGAAGAGTTTGAGCATTTAATCTTTAAATCAACGTTCTATATAAAAACATGTGGTGTGATGAACACATCGTCAGTTTATCTGTCGTCATGACTACAACAAAACAACGCTAATCAAACACCAATCAGACGATCATATGTTTAAAAGTTTCAATTCAGCACCATTTCAAAGCGAGTCAATGAAGACTTATAAATGCCATGCAGTGTGCTATGAGGGATGACGGAAATTTTGTCCAAACAGTCAAATTATGGCCTACTCTTCGTTGGAATTCAAACTATCAAGGGTTCCTTTATGCGCAAACCAATGTGTGCACAGGCCCTCCGTATGTTGTCGCAAGCCAATGTGTACACAGGACCTCAGTATGTCGACGCAAGCCAATATGTACATGGGACCTCAGTATATTGTCGCAAGCCAATATGTACATGGGACCTCAGTATATTGTCGCAAGCCAATGTGTACACAGGCCCTCAATATATCATTTCAAGCCATTGTGTACATGGGACCTCAGTATGTCGTCGCAAGCCAATGTGTACACAGGCCCTCAATATATCATTTCAAGCCATTGTGTACATGGGACCTCAGTATGTCGTCGCAAGCCTATGTGTACACAGGCCCTCAATATATCATTTCAAGCCATTGTGTACATGGGACCTCAGTATGTCGTCGCAAGCCAATGTGTACACAGGCCCTCAATATATCATTTCAAGCCATTGTGTACATGGGACCTCAGTATGACGTCGCAAGCCAATGTGTACACAGGCCCTCAATATATCATTTCAAGCCATTGTGTACATGGGACCTCAGTATGACGTCGCAAGCCAATGTGTACATGGGACCTCAGTATATCGTGCCATCTGAAGAAATAGACATTGTTCCTTGCCAGACCTTCCGTCCTGCACCATTGACAAGAAGAAACCACACTAGATAAATCCTGAGGAAGTGAACCCGAGATCTCTTGGTTAGAGAGCCATAGATTGACTCACTGAGCCACAGTGGATTCCATGAGCTACATATATCATCTATTGGTGTATTATTCCTGTTTTATGACCATAATTAAATAAGCATGAGGTAATATTTTATATAGATAGACGCAATCTGATTTAAATACAGATCCTATTTCGTTTCGTTTTATCGTTCAAAATTTCGTTTTTCTTGTCTCTACTACACTAGGATCTGAAAGAGTTATTATATAACTCGTGTTCAGGCTGATGTGAGGCATTAGCCAATGAATTGGTCTGTTACAGCGAGTTTTTGGCATGAGTGGGTAACCCACTAGAAACATCAACGCTGATTGGTTAATCAAATGTCTGATGTCATAGGCTCAAAAGCTGCTCGTATGACCCCTGACACAACCTTGTACTAGTAGTACAAGCCATCGAACTTATAGAGAGAGAGAGATATGGAGATTAACGTCCACTCGACACAAACTAGGTCATTTCAGGACTAACATATGGTTAAATTTTTTTTTCAATAATTCGCTTGCGCGTAGGGGTCTTTAGCAGTGGGAGGAAACCGGAGGACCCGGAGAAAACCCACGAGGTTGGACAGGCGACCCTACTCCTTGTCACGTACAACTGGGGATTCGAATCCACGCCAGTTGACTCAATGATACAGCGCGCACCTGCTAACCATTCGGCCATCCAACCCCCCCATCGAACTTATAAAGAAACGAAATGAAATATAGATCTGTATTTTAATCAGATTGAGATAGATGATTAATAAATATATTTCGATTTTGATAATATACTATTACTTATCTTGACGAATATATTCCGTTACTAATATACAAATAACCTTCATTTACATTCATCGTTATAAATTGGTTTTATTCAATGGATTAAATAAGGTTTTTTTTAGGTTTCATTTTACTGTCTACTAAATAAAATTAACTATAATAAGCAGTGCAGTTTAAAGAAGCTGATTATAAATAAAGTTCTAACCCTAACCCTTGTAGTGTAATACGGTTATTCCTTGCAATATCAGGCAATGAGGTAAACGGTAACCCCTTCAATTTGGATGAAATGTGGTTTATATGCTTATAAATTTGTGGAATTGGCCATCCAGAAAAACCCATTTCAACAATTTTGACAAATCGATTAATAAGCTATGGACAAATTTGAACATTGGTGGTTGGTGGCTATGCCAATCTTGGCCGAAATCACAAAAATTTAATGGACCGTATCTTAGAAACCCTTTATAATTCGATTGAATCCAAGCCGAAAGATTGTTTACCGTTGATTTTTTGGTTTTGTTTTATTAATCAATTTGAGTACATTTCAACGAGGATGAAGTCGTAGAAAATTTGATATTTTCTGAAAAATGCAAATGGCACCCAGAGACATTTAAAGGGGAAGACCAACGTTTTTTAACAAGGTTTCCATAAATCTTAAATATATACTGATAAATTTAAAATTTATAAACATCTTGTTGAAAATGGTTGGAATTCCCCTTTAAGTAGAGAAATAACATTTGTAAAAACACTGGTTTATATTTCTAAAAATAAAATAAAATTAATTCACAACAGTACCAGCAATGGTAATAAGCATTTTTAACATATAATGATCATAACCACTGCTTCAATCAATTATCTATCAAAACACCACCCTACAACAGATATTGTTACGAAGCCTGGAAATACAAGCACCTGTCACAGACATCGTCAGGCACAAATTCACACATTATCAGGCACGTTTCTTTAGTGTTGTTACTAATATTCTTAATTCAAGATGGCAGGTACAGATTCAAGATGGCAGGTACAAGTTCATTAAAGCCTTTTGTACAAATCGTTATTTCCGGGTCTGGGGCCTGTTTCACGAAATTTTAACTAAGATAAAATCCAAATTTTAGTAATTTGATTGGATAATATTAGATTGATTTTAGTGCTTAGCCAATCAAAATTGAAGTATCTACTAAAATTGGATTTTATCTTTAGTTAAAATTTCGTGAAACAGGCACCTGATCAAGAGAAAGTTGAATAAAATAAATGAAGCTATACAGCATGTTTTAATAATTATAATAATAAAATGTTCTATAACAATTGTTCAATATGAACAACTTCCATATTAAATATACAGTTATAAAATATAAATACAACACTTGTTCCTCGCTTTTCAATTTTTCTTATTTTCATCCTAAAGCAACTCTCACACGAAGCATGCGCTACACTGTTATAAGTGGTATGTCGGCTGACCACATCAGGATACCAAATTGTGGTCTCTCACAGCCTACATTGACCTACACAAAAACCTAGCACAAGGGGTTATGGAGAATAGTGACGTACTCGTGTGAGACAGGCTTTAGTTTATATATTTTTGGCGTTATACAAATAAAAAAGCTTCACAGAAGACAATAATTGGAAGATGTTAACGATTAAAAACGCAATATCATTTGTTTATATTTACGAGAAATATTTTACAACCTTCAGATATAACACAAAACTCAAGGTTTTCATGAAAAGAATATTACGATGGTGGTTTTGTATGTAACGAAAAACATGCAGAAGCAAAAAATATAATTTATGTATTTCGTGGAATTTTTTCAATTATGTTTAGAGCGTTTTCCTTTCATGTAGTCCATCCATCGTTGTGCTGTGTTCTTAAACAACGGATCGTCATCGATGACACTAAGTTGCAGAAGTTGATTGATATGAGTTGTGTGATAATCCCAACGTGCACGGTTCGGTGCGATACCTAATGTGATATGACGTAAATCGTAGAATGTTCCCGATCCCGTGTCAAACATCAATAACATGATCTTTAATGTCTGCATGCCGTTAGAATATAGTTTAGAGGCCATCTTGGAATCTTCGCCATCTGTCACTTCTTTTAAATCGTAAAGTCCTAGTAAGGAATATATAAAACCGTTCAACACAAAACTACTAGGAGTTGTGGGATATTCCTCGTACCAATCGTATCGATTGGCAAATTTTGTTAAAACACCACCTTGTGTACTGTCTATTTCAAATAATTTTAAAGCGTCCACCGCCGCTTGTAAATATTTCGTATTTTGCGTGCGTAGATAAGCGCGCACTAACAAGGACATAGCTTGACCTTGGGCCATGGCCGAATACCAGCCTGGTGGAAGTTCAAGGACACCTGGAATGAGACTTCGTTGCACCATGATTGGCCAACCACCCCGATCGTTTTGATGATAGACCAACCAGTTTGCGGCATTATAAAAATTGTCTAAATGCGCTGTGGTCGATAACGTTAAATTATCCAACCAACCGTGACCTCTGACGCTCACATCTGTTATTCGTGACACCTTTAACTTCATCTTAGTCCTTTTCACTTTATTAAATTTTAATGCTAAACCCTTGTCGAAATCTACGGACACTGTACGCGTGATGTGCATCCACTGTCCCCTTCGTTCCCCGAGACCATAATAAATATCATGACCATCAAGGGAGATAAGTTTTGAACTGAGGACATAATGTATGTGAAATAACTGAAGATTTGGTGTTTCTATGGTAACTGTAATACTGCCGTTTGATGCGAAGCGTAAATCAGCACAAAGAACAAAATCATCTTTCTCGTCTGCTGGAATGGATATACCTGGATATTTCAGAGAATCTGAAAAACGGGATAAATAGATTAATTGTAAAACAGAAAGAGAGAGAGAAAGAGGGAGGGTTTAATGATGTCGACTCGACAGAAACAAGGTCATTTCGGGACTAACATATGGTTCAATTTTATTTCAATAATTTGCTTACACGTAGGGGTCTTTAGTAGTGGGAGGAAACCGGAGAAAACCCATGAGGTTGGGCAGGCGACCCTGGAAAATTGCGGCACCCTTTGCCCATTGGGGAAAAAATCGGCTCCCTCAACCTTCTGCGCCCTTTCCATTGAACGCAATACAAAGCGAACGACCAACGTGCCACATAAAGCCGAGTGACATTGGTTGGGTGCCCACGACCACGGTAGCGTTCACCGTGGACCGTAAAGTGTAGGTACATCGGGGTCTGACCATGATGCCCTAAGCCCATGCTTACTTTGCTTAATGGTTAATCAAGCATTCATTGATATTGAGGTAGCGGTATATTGATATTGAAGTAGCGGTATATTGATATTGAAGTAGCAATATATTGATATTGAGGTACCGGTATATAGATATTTTAATGATAATAAAGGATTTTAATAGATATATTTGCATGCAAGTGATAAATCTAGGTGTGAACCCTAGGACATCAAAAAGATTGAGTAAAATGGATCCGTATTATATTGGATTTTATTATTAGAATGCCATCAATTACCACACAAAAAAGATCTTTTTCATCATAATTTCACATAGTATTCCATAGAATTTTGTCCTGTGTATTTCCATGATTAAATGTCATAGTAACAAAATATTCCATTGTCGCACCTTTGTTTAATAATTGCTCTAAGGGGAATAACTCTATTATAAGAATAATAATTAAGCAGCTGTTTTGAACTAAATGATGAATTAATTTGAATTGCATAATACTAAATATATATGTTGTTTGTTTGATAATTACTCTAAGGGGAATAACTCTATTATAAGAATAATAATTATGCAGCTGTTAATGTTTTGAACAAAGGGAAACCATGCCTGAAATCTCCTGGTTGGCGCGCAAGCATCTTACTGACTGAGGTACCACAGCTCCCTTTAGATAAATGAAACTGATGTCATTACCTGATGTTGTGAATTCTACAACTGTAGTTCCTAAAGTAGCATCTTTCAGTAGTTGTAGCTTATATCGCTTGTCAGGTAAAATCCAGTTTTCTAAATGGTCATCTTCTCCGTCTTCTAGAACTAAAACTTCTGGTTCTCCTTGAGTTAGATATTTACTGAGATGACTTAATCCAAACTGTGATATCTGTATCGGGTAATAATGTCCGGCTGGTGTCCATTGTGTGGATAACGGAACACCTAAAATATTTCCAAAATAAGCATACGTGTAAATAAACCATAATATATGTACAGGGTTGGGTGGCCAAATAAATGAAATGAAATAGGGTTTAACGTCCTACTGTTTTGCTCCGAACTGGGCTAATGAAGACGGGCATACGCCATACAGTGTGCTATGAGGGAAATTTTGCCCGGACAGCGGCACTACGGCCTACACTTATATCGAATTCCAACGGTCAAGGGATCTTTTACCTGCACGCCAATGTGTATACGGGACCTTGGTTTTTCGTCCCATCCGAACGACAAGACAGCTTTCCTTGTCAGCCCCTCCGTCCTGCATCACTGACAAGGGAGAACCACGCCAGAAAATCTGGATGAACTTTCTCGGCCAATTAAGGTCTGTCATTGAGTCAAGTGGCGTGGTTTCGTGGTGTGGGGGTGTGATTGATTGGTCTAACATAAGGTATATCATTGAGTCAAGTGACATGGTTTTGATTCCACACCTGTACGTGACAAGGAGTAGGGTCGCCCATGTAACCTTGTGGGTTTTCTCTGAGTCCTATGGTTTTCTTCCCATGGTTAAAGACCCCTACGCTCAAACTAATTATTGAAATAAAATTGTAGCATAATATATGTTAGTCCTGAAATGAACTAGTTAAGAGGGAGATAGAAATGGGGTTTAACATCCCCTTGACATCATCTAAGTCATTTCGGATTTAACATATGGCACTATTTCATTTCAATAATTAGAATGCACATATGGGTCTTTAGCAGTGGGAGGACAAACATCTTTAAAGGAAATGAAATAATACAGGGTTAAATTAACGTCCTACTTTTCTGCACCAACTGGGATAATGACGTCTGCATCTTCAAAGATACATTATGGGAGATTAGAAAAAGCTGGCAGTTCTCACTATAATAGCTGTTAAAAACTAGATAATGTAAAGGCAATTTGCCGAAAATTTCAGTCAAATTGATCCACTTTGAACCGAAAATTAAGGGATTGAAATTTTGGCATAGCCTCAATCAACATTACTAAAGTCTGTACGATAAAAAAACATAGTCTCGATCATCCATTTCATGATTAAATTATGAATGGAAGTCGAGCAGCAAAAGGGATTATAATCCAGTAAATATCCCATGCTAGCGATGCCATCAAGAGTTGATTATGGTCTGGATAAGTTAATTAATGTCTAATTAATAATTTAGATAACATTTCAGGCCTAAAGAAAGACCTGCAATATCCAGATTTAGCTCTTGCATAATGTATGTTTAAAGGAAGTTAGAAAAAAAATGGCGTTTAATGTTCAACTTTTTTTCTGCACTAACTACATGTGCCTAAAGGAAGTTTATTGGTTGCCGAGTTAAGATTCAACTCCTTTTGATACCTATCATCGTAAACTAAAATAGAATTCTATTTTAAAACAACATAGAGACCAATTTTACATCACAGTAAACACGATATAATACAAACTTGATATTTATAACCCATAAATGGATGTTTATTTAACCCATTCATAAGACTTTTAAAGATTGTCATTTTAAGTGTCTACATAAAACTGACACAAAAACACCAGGTCATTAAACTAACAGTTTATGTAACATTTTAATATTCGCAAGTGAATTTCACAATAAGGTCAAATTCATATATCTGACACTCCATTTTGGCAGCAGACACAGGTTATGACAGCCAGACGGTCGTTTGTCAAATCATCAAATATCATATTTGATATTTTTGTGACAAAGACTGACCATTTTGGCGAAGACTTGACAGAGTTAAGTTGATTATTGGGTAAAAGGCAGGAAGAATAAACGTGAATCTCGCGAGTTGAAGAAGGACGGAGCCAGATTAATATAATTTTCTTCTCTGTATAGCAGTTCCTTAATAAACAGACTGAATTCAAGAAAATTGATGAAGCTGTCGGTGGAACTGTATTGTATTGTTTAGATGAAAGCTCTGTCCGTTAATAACCTCTAAAACTAATTTGGTATCAAGAAGAACTATTGTCGATAACTAATGGCTGCTATAGGAGTGAAATGGAGTTTAACTGGCCTCATCCACAAAATATTTTGGTGATTTTGAGACCAGAGAGAGAGAGAGAGAGAGAGAGAGAGAGAGAGAGAGTTTAAGGCCCACTTGACACAAACTAGGTAATTTTGGGACTAACATATGGTCCAATTTTATTTTAATAATCAGCAGTGGAAGGAAACCCGGATGAACCAAAGAAAACACAAGAGGTTGGACAGATGACCAAATCCCCCCCCCTCCCCCACTGAAACTAATATTGGTAATTTACATTTCTATCTATAATGCTATGTCAAGTTTGTTAAATTGCTCACTACTGTATACATGAGTAGTTCTCAGTTTATCATTCCATCCGAAGGACTAGGCACAATTTCCATATTGGCCCCATGGGCCCCATTCCTGACAAGTGAGAACCTGGACGGTAGAAGAATTTTTTCGTTAACAGTTAAAGAATAATTGATCATGTAATGTGTTGAGAGGGTGTTGAGAGGGTGCCGGGAGGGGGGGAGGGGAGCAAACCCTAGGGGCAGCACTAGGTATGCCACTTAGTGAACTGTTTAATGTTTTATTCTACTTGAACGTGTACAAGGCTTGACCTACTCCTGTTAAAATTTTCATCTAGTTTTCTTACTTTCCACTTTATAGTTTGATGCGTTTTGTGTCTAATTCTACAGATTACGAGTCTTGACCTACTCTTATTAAAATTCTAATTTAGTTTTCTTACCTTCCATACCACTGATACATCGAACTCTATCTCTCTCTTCCACATTATAGAATTCAAACGACATGAACACTCCCCCGGGTGAATAGTGTTCACGGGGACGATGTACTGTAGAATAACTATGTTCCCATGCTAACTTCTCAAAACCATCTTCAGTCGAGATTTTACCATATATCTGGAATAATAAATCATGTCATCAAAATTTCGCAAAGTATTAACAATTTTAATCAAATCCATATTTGCTGGGCCCTTTTTACAAAAATTAAAAAACTGAAACATATGGCCTACTCTAATATCAAATTCTAACTGCCAAGGGGTCTTTTATGTGCACGCCAATGTATGCATGGGGCCTCGTTTTTTTGTACCATCCAAATGACTAGACAGCTGTTCTTGTCAAGCCCTCCTTCCTGCATCACTGACATGGGAAAACTATGTTGGAAAATCCTGATGGACTTTCTCGGCCAATGCAGGGATCGAACACGCCACCTCCAGACTAGCGAGCCAGCGTCTTACACACTTAGCCACCGTGGCTCCCAAAACCCCACACCGTTCGTCTCCTACAAGCTAAGGATCGAAACCTCAATTACAGGACTCAATTTCTGATCTGAAGTACCCATTAGACCACTTGGTCACCTGACCCCCTGCAACTTTTGCGACATCCAATCAAAAGTCTGATAGTAGCAGTGTTAATATTTCTGAACAAATGAACTCACCTCAAAATATTTTTGAACGAATGAAAACGGTACGAAGACATCACTTGACTCCCGTCGACATTTAATTCTATATTCTCCGTTAATAACGCAATCTATCTCATGATACTTTAAATCGGTTGACACCGATAATTCTTTGGTATTTTTCAAGGAATTGGTATCTCGATTGTGAAATCTGGCCTGGTAATTCACGTTACCCCCGGTGTCTGGTCGCTGGTCCACACTGTAAAATAAATATGAATGTCATGAATTTTTATAACCAGTGGTTGCCAGGCACAATACGCCCACATTTTTTGTACAATCTTTCGGATATAAACATATATTTTAAGTTTCATCAAAATCGGATCAAAATTGTGACCTCTAGAGATCCACCACCTTGATATGTCATACTTTTACACTATTTGCGTATGAGGAGAGGTCATTTTGTCCAGCATTTTCGGTCTGATTTTCACAAAATTCAAGCTCAACAATCATTAAGGTGTAACGGTGATATATTCAATTGGTTTTTCAAATTGGATAAAAATGGTGTCCTATGTAGGGACTACAGGCTAAAAACACGATTTTTCAAGCAATCAGTGACCATATGATAATCCAGGCAGTTAAGGTCCGAAATGCACGAATAAGTCTGTCAACAAAAAGTTCAGCAACAAGTTGCTTGATAACAAAGGGTGGATGTTGTCTTCAGCTTTCAGTCATTCAAGACTTAATTTTGGAATAAGCCAGTGTAAAAAATGGTCCTTTACTGTATTTGAGGGAACTCTAATGGCCCAGTGAGAATGGCAAGGGAATATGTGTCAGTGAACACAAACAAGGTCAATTAATGGCTACAAAACTAGGGGACCTGAACAAAACCCACATATTTGAGCAGACACCATCATTCCTTATCATATATAAGCGTGGAATCGAAACCACGCCACTTGACTCAATGACACACCTCATTATCTACCAAGCCGTGCTGAATTCCTCATAAATTATAAACATTAAAAATTATAATCTTTTAGAGGTATTTAGTAACTAGACAGTGCAATAAACTATAACACATATTTATGCAGGAAGAACAATTACTAATTTATTTAGGTGATGTTTCGAAGAGTACTTGCTTGTACATTATCACATATACTTATGGAAGACAGTGGCGGCACCAGGGGGTGGGGGCAAGGGGGGGGGCATTTGCCCCCCCATTAATCGGTAATCAATACCTTCTACGGTGAATAAATCCCACATCCCCACTCAGTCATAAACTTACATGTTGTAGAGCATTTCCGACTGTCTATTTTTCAAAATTTTCTTGGCGAGGTCCCCAATGGACTCGCTACTTTAGCGCTCACAAGGGAAATTCGTTGAGGTTCGCAAGTCCGTTCATTTGACATTTTGTTCTCTAGTCGGATAAACTAGTGATCAGGCGACAAACGGTATCTGGGCAGATCTATTTATCTCGACAATCGGTACCTGACAGAATACTGTAAGACAGCATTTCCGGCAGTCAATTTTTCAAAATTTTCTGGGGGAGGACTCCTTACTTTGACGCTTGTGAGTGGGCTTCGTCGTGATTCGCAAGTCCGTTCGTTTGACACTTTACCTCATTGATCCGTGCCTGAAATACTGCCAGACTGCATTTCAGGCAACCTGTTTTTCAAAATTTTCTGGGGGAGGCCCCCTACCTCTAGTTGAAGCTCGTGCCTTTGCCCCCCTTAACCTTGGACTTTGCCCCTCCAATCACCGAAGGCTGGCTCCGCCACTGATGGAAGAACAATTACTAATTTATTTAGGTGACATTTCGAAGAGTACTTGCTTGAAAACTATCACACACATTTATGGAAGAACAATTACTAATTTATTTAGGCGATGTTTCAAAGAGTACTTGCTTGAAAACAATAAGAGAATACTCTTCATTTAGAAAACATGGCCTAGTACATGCTTGAAAACGTTGAGACAATACTCTTCATTTAGAAAACATGGCCTAGTACATGCTTGAAAACGTTGAGACAATACTCTTCATTTAGAAAACATGGCCTAGTACATGCTTGAAAACGTTGAGACAATACTCTTCATTTAGAAAACATGGCCTAGTTTATTAAGAACTTACTTGTTGATATGTTGTGGTTGATTACATTGACTCCAGAAACAGAAGGACAATAATAAAGAACAACACAGAACTATCACAATTAACTTGACCAATCTATTTACCCTCATCATTTTCTATCATTGTTTCAGCCATCTGAAAATATACAAAATAAACAATCATGTGCAAGATATATTCATACAAAACATGAATGGCTTGTCAGGCAGGTCAAACAGCAAAATCATCTGTGCTGCTAGCTTTAATATCATTGTCAATCCAATTAGCTGATCCAGTTTAAAAAAAATAATAATTATGATCATAATTTTCGTCATTATGCCCCAACCCAATCAGCTGATCAAGTTTAACAAAAAAATAATTATAATCATAATTTTTGTCATTATGCCTCAATGAACAATTCCACAAAGTTTCAAAAATTAAAAATTTATTTCATATATGAGTATTGTCAAAAATAATTTACAAACTAACATATCAATTTATCTTTTTCTTTAAACCATCAACAGACCAGGATGGCATCCCAGCATTTTTGGAATAGTGACATCATATCAAAAAATTGAAGTCCATCAATCGATGGGCAATTGTCTGAAGAACGACCATACCGAGTTACATATCGATCTTACTCAAATTGACAAAACAGTTTTTTGAAGAGAGTCACCCGAATTAGAACAAGAGAAGGGTTATTCATCTTCAGGTGTCTTTTTCACAAGTTATACCGTCTGTCATTGAATCAACTGGTGTGGTTTAGTTTCCCGGTTTATGTGACGAGGAGTAGGGTTACCTGTCCAACCTCGTGGGTTTTCTCCGGGTCCTCCCACTGCTAAAGACTCCTACGCGGAAGCGAATTATTGAAATAAAGTTTAACCATATGTTAGTCCCGAAATGACCTAATTTGTGTTGAGTGGACATTAAACTCTCTCTCTCTCTCTCTCTCTCTCTCTCTCTCTCTCTCTCTCTCTGTTTGTCACAACTATAAAGAAAGACTTGCCAACAAGCAATATCCCTAGTTGAAGAAGGCTACTGAAGTCCTTCAAACAGTTTCAATAATTTATGATCATGTTTATTTGTGTAAGATTATAAACCACAAAACACACACCACTTGCAATATTAAATCACCTATAGAAACCATCGTAAATTGTTTACGGCAGATAAAAACCAAAAGTGTGAAAATAAATGATGTCAAACTCTTTGTCTGTATTTATCTTTCATCAAATTCATTTCGGTAATAATATTTTTCGTAGAAATTTATGAATAATTTATTATTATTGACGGACATTTTCAATAAAAGCATCAAAACATTTTAGGAAACTTGTAAGTTACACAATGAATAATTTATTTGCATTATATCATCAGAACTCGATCAACTTAACGCTGCCTTCAAGTACTATTATAATCGATAATACACAGGTATGCAACGTAAACGTCCAACTGTCTATTTAGTTAAATTGGTTACAGCTGATATATTTCCTATTTTAATATTTGCGCTGTTTAACAGTCTTCAAATAAAAGACAGTACTTCAAAGAGACAAACATTAACAATGTAATATTTAGATTTTCCTAGATAAATATTGGGATTCAACAATCATCCTAATGGTTGTTTCTCACTACAACAGAATAATTTCTATATCATTAAAATAATAAAATAGTAATGAATGTATACTATGCCACAAAAAATAGTAATGGATATAGACTAAAACCTGGGATATTCATTTAATATCAAATCTTTGTTTAAAAATTAGAAAAAATCATCTAATTTGTTCTTGTTTCCAGTTTAAAGCTGACTCATTAATTTTGATAATAAGTGCCCAATTTTGAAGTATTTAATTTCCTGCCCACTGTTCAAACATTAATCATTATACATCAATAATCAATTGGGTTGTTTATTTTTTAACAGTGATAGAGAAATTAAACAGTTGTAAATTGGACACTCATTATCAAAATTAATCAGTCAGCTTTAAACTAGACACAGGTACAAATTAGATGATTTTGGGTGATTTTAAATGACTTTTACAAATTTTTAAACAGAGATTTGATATTGAATGAATGCGAAAGAAATTAGTACTAAATACACAAGATTAAATGATACCCAGATTACAGTGATAGTCTATGCCACAAAAAATAGTAATGAATATAGACTACATCACAAGAAATAGTAATGAATATTTGAGGCTCATTATATAATTACCTTCAGGAAAACTCGTTATTTTTCTGCTAAAATTTTAACTTATAAACAAATCCATAGAAGTCACCGACTTGTATGTACAAAGTCAGGTAATACTAGTCTGGATATAAATTCATAGCTTTTGATTCACGACCTAATTCTAAATTTAACCTACAATGTAACTTGACTAAAGTACAGGTAGAAAAATCAACAGGTACACGCAAACTTACCTTGATTCAATATAAACCAAATTAAATATTGCTTCAAGTATTTGATCAATTTGTTAAAAGTAAGACATGAGAAAACAAACACATTATGTCAGTTTCCTTGAAAGATGAGAGAAGGATGTGGATTTATGAGTTGCACATATTATAAAAATTATGACGAAAAAACCCGACAAGATATCTTTGCTAATGTCTTCAAGAGAATAATATAATCATCGTAAATCAACCACAGATTTCCTGTATCAACGTGTAGAGATATTTTAAAAGGTTTTTTTTAAAACAGACTGAACCAATAACTAACTCTTTATATGAGATAACTCAAATCTTATAGCATGACTCGATGACAGGATTCAAATTTGACTTCCTTTATTCAAGGTGCTTTGACCAAAAATAACTTCCCCAAACTCATTTTTATAAGATTTATGAATCATTTTCTGAAATTTTGTGCGTCAAGATGTTTGCTGTTGGTGATGAATATGATTTTAATCTTTAAGTGAGCGTCTCTTGGTATAAGACAGTTTCGCAGTAAATATTAATTAGGTCTTCTGCGTGTTACCCTAGAACCAATTAACAGAAAATAAAAACATTAGTCTGACTTCTTTATGACAGTTACTCGACTCTATCCATCAAAAACAAGCAAATGAGAGTCTGGTCGAAAATATTAAGCGATGTTAAAAGACCTCGTCCATTTCTAGCCTCCATTAATATGTCAGAAGTTTTTCTGTAACCTTGTTATGTTTCATGGAACACAGACACTGTTGTAGTATCATGTCTACAGATCCACAGCAAAGTTCAAATAATTAAAACAACAAAAAGCTCCTAATGTCCAAAAAAGCTATTCAACGAAATAAAACGAAATGGGGTTTAACATGTCATGTGAAGGAAATTTTGCATGGATAGTGGTGCTGCACCGGCTATGCCCGCATCTTATTTCGAATTGTGGGGGGTTGGGTCATTGAGTCAGATGGCGTGGTTTCGATTCCCGGGGGACATGGAGTAGAGTCGCCTGTCCAACTTCGTGGGTTTTTGCCGGGTCCTCCGGTTTCCTTCCACTGCTAAAGACCCCAACACACAAGCGAGTTATTGAAATAAAATTGAACCATATGTCTAGTTTTTGTTGAGTGAATGTTAAACCCCATTTCTCTCTTTCTCACTCTCTCTATTTCAAATTGTCACTGTCAGTTTTTTTTTTGTTTTTAGATACTCGCCAATGTGTACACGGGACCTTTAGTTTTCTGTCCCATCTGAAAGACTAGACAATGTTCATTACCAGGCGATCGATCCCTGCATTGGCCGAGAAAGTTCATCCCAATTTTCCGGCATGGTTTCCCCTTGTCAGTGATGCAGGATGGAGGGCCTGACAAGGACAGCTGTCTAGTCGTTCGGATGGGAGGAAAAACCGAGGTCCCGTGTACAAATTGGTGTGCACGTAAAAGATCCCTTGGCAGTTGGAATTCGATATAAGAGTAGGCCATAGCGCCGCTGCCCGGGCAAAATTTCCGTCATAGCACACTGTATGGCGTATGCCCGTCTTCATTAGCCCAGTTTAGGAGCAAAACAGTAGGACGTTAAACCCCATTTCATTTCATTAGCACACTGTATGGCGTATGCCCGTCTTCATTAGCCCAGTTTAGGAGCAAAACAGTAGGACGTTAAACCCCATTTCATTTCATTACCAGGCCCTCTGTATTTCACCACTGATGAACTTTCTGGACTCATCAAGCCACGACGACTCCACATATTCCATGAATTTATATAAATACCGTTCTCATAAATGTTGTAAACTAAGTCTGGAAATTAGTCACCTGTCACAGATGTTGTCTCAGGTGATTTGCCTTTTACCTGTGTAAATATCATAATAAATGTCCAGCACAAGCTTCAAAGATACAATTAAATTTGTTTCTTTATATGTTTGTTCGTGGATGCGTTCGCTATTCGCTATAGGGAATCTTAAATAATAAATTTCTATATAACTTGACAACCTTTGAACATGGTGTAACACTGATAGTAATTTGTTAAAGTACACCAAGTTACAGGTAAAAGAGATAATATTGTTATAGAAGGAAAATAATGAACTGTAGACCTGTTTACCTGTGTGTACCTGTAAACAATATATTATCAGTGTCCACCTGTTTATGATAAAAACAACATTATCACCTTTTATCTACATCACCTTTATCTTACTACCTGTAGTTACTACCTCTTAATGAGAGAGAGAGAGAGATGAAATGGAGTTTAACGCCTATCTGTTCTGCTCCGACTGGGCTAATGAAGACGGGCATGCGCCATACAGTGTGCTATGAGTGAAATTTTGCCCGGGCAATGGCACTATGGCCTACTCTTATATCAAATTCCAACTGCCAAGTGATTTTTTACGTGCATGTCAATGTATACACGGGACCTTGGTTTTTCATCCCATCCTAACTACAGCTGTCCTTGTCAGGCGCTCCGACCTGCACCACCGAGAGAGAGAGAGAGAGAGGGAGGGAGGTCATATCAGGAGTTACATGGTAAAACTTTATTTCAATAATTTCTTTTGTGTAGGGGTGAACACCACTTTAATCCTGTAGAACTATTTTGTCTAACACCGAAATTGAACCAGTTACCTCTAGGTAAATGAACAAGTACCTCTCTCACTGTGCCACCGAATCATTAATTTCAATGGCAACAAGGTATAAATTAATAAAGATTCATTCGAAACTGGGTCAGAACGTAACGTCTAATATTGTTTATATACAGAGTAGTAGATTAAGGTA